GCTATTTCAGGTTAATATTTTGATATTGCAAATAGTCTTTTTTATCACATGCTACAATAAGCTTATATTTGAGCACCATAGTAATACACTAACTGCGAGGCTGAAAATAAAATCTGTGAAGCTATGTTTTGATTGATGTGCCATCTGGGAGAAAACAGGACACAGCTACAAGATAAAGTACATTTAAAATAAAATGATCAGGTTGGCAGCATGAGTTTTTCCATTATCCAGAGGTAGCAAGAAATCACAAGAGAAACATCATTCTATTAATCTATGATAGCTTCTGTGGAACAAGCTGATCTGTATTCCTGGCAGGTAAACCTTCATTCCCACTTTTAGTCTCACTTGAATAGCCCAAAATTGGATGGGATGTAATATAAGGGGTTAGGAGAGATCCTGGATCTCCCTCATTAATGTCGCTATGGCATCCTTCCAAAGGCAGGTTTAGTCACACAGATAAAAACAAAGAATGGACATAAACATAATGTTACTCCATGTTCCATATCTAATGTCCCCATTTCTATGCTTTAGTGATGGCCTAATGGCTTTTCCAGAAAGCCAGGGTGTGCCACACAGTTGCAGCTCCATGTACCCATTTTTAATGGTATCTGAACCCACACCAAATTATGATCTTGAAATTCAGTGGCACAATTTTAAAATTATTTTTAATGTGTTCAGGTGAGTGTGCCACACCTCCAGTAGACCTAATTTGGGCATAAAAGTAACGGTTCTCCTAGTACAAAAAAGATTAGCAGGCTAGGAACATGGTCCAAAGGTCCCACCCCCTCTTGCAACACCCTTATATCACTGGTTCTGCCTTGTATCCATCACTGGTACTGAAGTTGAGCAAAGGCCAAAATTGGAAGTGGGGAAGGAGGAAGGAGGATTGCTAATTCTGTTTCTCATACCAATTCCTGTCAAGTTAAGGAAGCTTTCCCTGCTGTCTAAAGTGTTAGGATTTCAGAGTGAGAGTTTAAGAACAAGATAGTAGGAAGCTTCTTATCAAACTGGAAGCGGCGTTACTGAAGCATATGGAGATACTGGGGTATAAACAACAGTAGTTAAGTACATTTCTTGAAATCAAAGTTTAGAACCAAGAAAGTAAAGTTTAGATCGTCTTCTTACAATCAGTGGGAACTAAAATATGTACCTCTGCCAGTATTATCCCATTATTTGTTTCTAGGCAAAGTATAGTTCACTTTTGTCATTCCTAAATATGAGGTAAAATGTTGTGAATATTCTATATTAGTCAGATGGCTGATTTTCCTTCTGTTTTGTTGACTTGCTGTTAATGCTGAAATTTAAAAAAGTATTACAGGTTTGCAGGTTTGCTTGGTGTATTTTTAAAGTACCATTCAGCTTCCCCACAATAACTTATTTACAAATACATAAATAATTACAAAAAGCTTATAGGAATATTCTGCTCAAAGAATTACAGGTAGTCCTCACCCGTTGGGACCAGCAATTGTGTTGTTAAGTGCACAGTCACTAAGTGAAAAATCACATTACCGTGGCAGCCTTACAACGTTGCTTACGGCTTGCATTTTCCTTCAGTGCATTCTGTTAACTCTGCTTGTTGGAAGCCAGTTGGGAAACACACAAGTGATGATCAGGTGACTATGTGATGCTGTGACAATCATAAAATGTGAGGATTGGTTGCAAAAGTAAGGGTTTTTTTAATACCATCATAACTTCCAACAGTCTTTAAAAGAGGCAATTAGTAAGTGAGGACTATCTGTATCATTCAACATATTGCTGTAAAACAGTGTTTCTCAACCTTGACAATTTTAAGGCATGTGGACTTCAACTCCCAGAATTCCACAGCCAGCATTGCTGGCTGTGGAATTCTGGGAGTTGAAGTCCACATGCCTTAAAATTGTCAAGGTTGAGAAACACTGCTGTAAAATGATAACACAAGCCAATTTGGTCTAGGCTAGAAAGCAAGAGACCGTGAATTCAAGTCCCGCCTTATGACCTTGGACCATTCACTCTCTCTTGCAACCCAACCTACTTCCCACGGTTGTTGTTGTTGTGGAGAAAATAGGAGGAGAAAGTTGTGTTGGTGGATATGTTTGCTACCTTGAGTTATTTGTAAAAAACAATAAAGGTGGGTTAAGAACAAATAATAAAAAAAAATAATCTTGGAGATTAAGAGAGGAGCCCCTTATTTTATCACCTCATGACCTATGCCTGCTGAAAGTTATATGATTTGGTGTAACAGCTTTGGTTACTTTCTTTGCTTATCTTTATTTATTTTGCCATTTTAGCTACAAAACACTCAAGAATTAACATTAGAACATTACAACGATATTCATAGTAATTTTAACTACAAGAGTGATAACAGCACATTGCTAATGTACCATTAGTGACAATTGAGCTTAGCTTTTATTATATGTTCAGTTGTAGTCATTTTTCTGTGTTGATTTCAACCTTACCTATGTTGTTTGGATTATAATTTTCTCCTATTTCTAACCCATACGTCAACAGCCCATAGTTTTGGCCCCTAATTCTCCATTTTTTTAATGTTCAGGAAAGATATTCAGGTTTCACTTTTCTTTATATACAAAAGAAAAAAGAATAAAGAACAATCTTTATCACAACTTCCTGCCATTCAAATGGTACAGAATGTACTTGTTTTCCTCAAAATAAAAGCAGCTACTCATAAATGATTGGTCATGTAAATCTTAAAAGATTTCTTATCCTGGATTTTTACATACAGATACATTATCTATTGGTGTCTATAATCTACACATACAGATCAATTGTCCCTTTTGTAAAGCAACTCCAGAGTCTGTAGTGAAACATATCCTCTCAAGTTTTTCAAAAGACAAAGAAGTAGAAAATCTGCTAAACATTTTAATCAAATAGAAATATTATACTTAGCTTTTAAACACCATTCAGAGATTTGGATGCTTGTTGATCAGTATGGATATAGCAATTCTCAGGTAATTTTTTTCCCTGCCATAACTGAACAAGTAACCACACAAAGTTGTCTGGGAATTGATCAACCTAGAAATAGGACAAATTAAGTAAAAGGTTAAGAGGGCTAAAGACTTTTCTAGCCCAGCATCCTTTTTACTTTGACCAACAAGGCACCTTTGCAAAATCCAGTACCGCATAAAGCCAACACAGTTAGCAGGCGTGATAGGCTTAATCTCTGGAAATACATCCAGTCTCCTTTAAAAGCCATCATGTTACATTGACTGATTAATTTCACCCAAATAGAAAGGAAGAAATTGGTGAATGAAAGGAAGCGTATAGACGTTTTTCAGCTGTTCAGCCCAGTAGCAAGCAAGATTTCAGTAGAAAGTCACCTCATTTTGTTACCTCATTTCGTTTATTCCTGAACTCGAAGTCCGGCTGTGACTCTTGCATTTAGATGTTTCTATAAGAGTTTTCTTTTCTGCTTATCCAGCACAGGATAAAGGACAGAATCCAGATATTTAGCCTTCCTCACCACTGCCCAGGATAATTGGAACTGCAACATCTGTTCCTCACTTCTAGGATATAGGGAAAGCAAAGGGGGGGAAAAGTGCAGGGCGTAAAAAAAAGAGACTATTGTATACTCTCTGCTTTGAAGAACACTCAGAAGGTAGAGCTGATCCAGAATGCAGCAAGATGGACAATTTTTGGCATTTCTCTTTGTACCATAATAAATCTTTGCTCCATGAGCTGCACTGCCTTCCAGTAAGTTTCCCAGTGCAATTCAAGGTGCTGGTTGTCACCTATAAAGCACACCATGGCATAGGGCCAGTCTATTTATGGGGTTGCTTCTCTCCCATTGTTTCAACTTATCCCACCAGAGCTAAATAAAGCATGCTCTGGGTTCCTTTTAAACAATGCCATCTTGTTGGACTCCAGAATTGTGTCTACTCAATGTCAGCCCCTATGGAACAGCATCACCCTGGACATTCAGATGGGCCAACTCTTTAAGCTTTCACGAGGCATTGAAGATCTGTTTGCTCAGGCATTTAGGTCGGTTGATGAGCTGTGCTATTGTTGATGTGCTTTTTGTGAGTGGTATTATAGTTTGTCCTTGGGCCTCAGGGATTATACATTGTGAGTTTCTGTGTTTTTAATTCTTGTAAATGGTCCTGAGTCAAATAGTACAATATAGTTTTATCTCTAGCTTGTTTTGTAGAAAATGCCAATTACTAAAGTATTGACCCTTAGAAGCAAATATGAAAATCCTGATTTTTTTTTTAATCCCCTCAAACATTCCCTAAATGGTTTTCCATATTTGTGGTCCTGTTGGAAACTGAGGCATTGGTATTTATTGGTACACAGTGGGCTGAGCACAATATGCTTTTTTCTTTTACTTAAAACTTTTACATATCTTGCGTATCCTTCACAAATGATAACTGGCAGTTCTTATCTTTCAATAATTCCTTCCTTTCCCAATTATAGAAATATTCAATAAAAACATTGAAAACACATGGAAATTTATATTCATATGGTGTAACATAAGCCTGTGGAACAAGAGTGTTATTCTTCCAATAAATGGTACAGCAATTTATGCTTCTACATTACACTATGAGTTGGCATTCACATTAATTTTATTTTGCAGAAATGATGCAAATTATGAGATGAACTAATACTTCAAGTATTCAAGTTCACACTTAATTAAATTCCTGCTACAACTCCTTTAATTATTACATTCTATGGACATATTTTCAGGAGGAAAGAACAAAGGAAGCAGAATTCCTACTTTGCTATATTACTAATGCTATTAAAAAAATAAAAATCATGCTTCCTCCATTTTAATGAAATCTATCATTAACGAGAAACCACAATTGTGTTCCTTATAGGATAATCTTTTGTTGACGAAAAGTAGCTTTCATAATTTTCTCAGCAATGGCACCATTTTTTGGGGGGGGGGGTTTGCTCTGAATTACTGTGATGCTGTTTCAGGAACAACTTTCACAAAACAGCAGTTTTTGTAGCAGCGTGTACCATTTTAAGTCTCTCAAGTAATTTGTGATTCTTTTGTAATTCTGCAGCAGACCAGTCAGGAATGCTATTTATTGGAGATGCTGTAATACAGGTCAGTTGATTGTATACACTTACTGGAAAGTATGTTGCTTGTTAATGTTTATACTAAATGCCTCGTATTATTTACCTAATGTTTCAAATAATCCCTTTATGATGTTTAGGTTAACGGTATAAGTGTAGAAGGCGCTACCCATGAAGAAGTGGTAAGTTGCACAGTGATTTCTTTTTCTTTCCCTACTATATGTTATAAATTGCTGCCTAGATTACTCTTGCTTTCTTTATACATATTTTTCAGAGTATTACAGAAATATTGGTTGGTTGTTCACAGCATTCATTCACATAATTTTCAGGCCAAGTTTTTTTCATTCTCATGGAATCTAGTGCTAAGCTCTCTGTTCCTTCATGAAATGATATAGCACATGGAAAAAGCACAACAAAAAGCTACAATTTGTAAGAAATGGTTAATAAAAGACTCTAAGCATTAATCATAAAAATGATTTTACTATCTCATCTTTATTGTCCTTTGTTAAGGCACTATGTTCATATTTTAGTAGTAGTATTGCATTTTACAAGAGAGTAGAGAAGCAAGATTCAACATCTCATTATTTCACTACCGAGTCACTCATTCATTGGCTCCAACTACCTATCTAAATAGTAGCATCCAGAAACTCAAAAGTTTGCTTGGTTTCAGCCATCTGGAAAATGGAGGTCAGAAAAGGGTATCTCAACAAATTTGAACTTTAAACTGAGAAAAGGCTTCCATTCCAAATATAAATCCCAATGCTATACTGTATTTTATCTTCCATTCTTTGTCCTTTTCCTTACTACTATTAATTTCACTACCAAGTGTAGATTTTAACTCAATTCCCACCTATACTATTATTCTTCTGATGTTGAGCTACATAATTGATTATAATGGATTATTTGCCTTTGAGAGCCATAGAAGATATGTCCAAGGGACATCATACCTTCTCTGCAGTGGGCTCTTTTTCATTTGGTTGGTTTAATTTAAGCTTTAAATTATTACAAATGTTTAACCAAATTTTAGGAATACAGTGCACAGCCACATGCATATTCTCCATTTATATATCAGAGCAGCAGGTTCCAGATCATTTTAAGAAGGCAACCAACTCAGAAGGAGAAAAATCAAGATAAAATGAACAAGGAAACTGAAACATGAAGCAAGTGGGATAAATGATAGGTCAGATGTTCCATTGCAACAATTGTAGAATAGCCAAGGATAGCTGTTGATTATGCCAGAGGGGTGCCAAACATTATAAAGGTAATGATTATGTCCCCTGAATGATTCAGGAGATTTCTAGGTTCAAGCTAAAAATCCTCTCTTCAGCAGCTCATGGCTTTGTGTCAGCTTAACCAATTTCACAGGATAGTTGTTGCAAGGAAAGATAAATCTTAAACTTCACCTAAATACAAGAGTACACCAGATAAAACACTGATAATAATATGGCACAGTCAATGTGTAATTTCATGTTTGCAGGGCTAACCTGTGAAATTGATCAATCCTAAAAGGCTGAGTTTTATGAACATACTTAATAACCTAACAAGTCTGATGAAATGCTGGTTGAGTTAATTATTCTGTTGATAGAATTCTAGGACAATGTAAGGGGTGTCAAACTGCATGCGTCATAGCGAAAGTGTGCCCACCCCATTGCCGGCAATGGGAAAAAAGTCACGATATGTTGCGACAGGTGACATGAGTTTGACACCCCTGATGTAAGGGATTAAAACTAGTTTGGTGTAATGGTTAAAGGTGGTGAATGGAAGGAAGAAGGAGTGTTAGGTATTTTCACCACCTTGAGTGTTAAAGGCAGGATAAAAATGTAACAAGTAAAGTAAGAATGCAGAAAAAGTGGAATTACACCCAACCAAAATCTGTTGCTAGTATATAGTGCAACAACTAGTGTTTTGCGACCATGACTATCAAAAGCTTAATAGTTTATCGCTGGTTCTTCTGAAGAATTCTATCCTTCCATATGAACTTAAAATTGTTATCATAAGCTCACCATCTTAAAATGCATTGATGAGTATTCTATCTTCTTAGTACAATCCCTATTGTGAAACTGACATTTGAGAGAAGTGAAGTTCCTCTGTTTTTTCTTTCCTTTGCATTAAATGCATTAATTCATGCTGTTTTCAAATTGTATTACATATTGATTTGATGGATCTTTCATTGGATGCTGCTTAATCTAATTATTTTGTGTGCCTGTATCATACTCACATATACAGTATTTTCATGCTTTCAATTTTTATTTTGGGTATCATCACTTTTCAAATGATACCTTTCAAAATCCTTAGCTGATATAGTTACACTTTTATTTTAAGTACATTCACTCTTTTAGTAATATAATAAGAGTTACCTGATCCGCAAGATAGGCAGCAAATAAATGTGATAAATAAATAAATAAATACGAAGGGTGATTTCATATCAGAGTTACTTTCTGTAGTTCATTTTCAAACTGAAATTTTCAATTTTCAATAGGAATTTCTTTTGATTCATTATCTATAATTTCTGTAATAGCTGTGCTATGGCAACCATTAATATTTTTATCTGGAGGAAAAAATGCATGGCATTACATTGCAAGAAAGTTTTTTAAAAAACCCTTTTTTAAAAAAGCTTTTTTTTTTTGCTGAAAATCACTTCACTTGACATGATAAGAACTTAATAACTGAACAAACGTCATGGCCAATTCATGATAATTTTAGTCACATTATAAGCAGTTAAAATGATTACAGTAACTATTAGCAAAGATTAAATTTGAAACAGTATATACAGCATTATTCTATTATGAACTCAATCAAATGATTTTATGAAAGGCAGGCTGAAGTCAGCAATTAATATAAAATCATTTTTTTTATTATTTCCTTCTTAAAACAATTGGGGATAAAATATTGCTGGCAGCCTAACCTGCAGAAAGAGAAGAAAAATGCCTATATAAATGCCTTTCTGCAATAGAAGACTTCTATATTTTCTGACATAAGTTACAGTGGTGCATAGGCATAGATTCCTACTCATTCTCTAACAAAAAATAGTTGTGCATGATAGTTATACAGTTATGCCCTATGGAGTTCAGGGTGGGGGAGGGCTGTGGACTATGAGGTCCTTCATAGCAGAGCTCCTCCGGAGAAAAAGCAGTGGAAACAACTTGCGGCTTTCCTTGCTATCTTCCCCATTGATTTTGCTTGTAGGAAAGTCACAAAGTCACCACAACTGCAAGGGCCTGTTGTAAATCACCCTCATTCAGTGTGCTCAGAACTTTGAACAATCACTGAATGAGCAACTATAACCCAAGGACTAGCTGTATAAGAAATAAGAGGACATACAGCACAATCAGACTTTCAAGGTTTTCTTACAGTAGCCAATCTAAATAAAAGTAGTTTTAGTCTTCATGTGGAGTTGATTTTTTTGTCTGGTGTACCTAATGAGAATTATAATACACAATGGTTCGCTAATCATATATTGCATAATTAGTTTTTAAAATGTGGTAAAGATGGTTAAGGTGCATTCATCCTGGCCTGCCTTGATCTCTTAGTTTTTGATACCATCAGTCCTTGTATCCCTCTGGACTGACAGGAGATTAGGAGTGGGAAGTACAATATGGCAGTAGCTCTGTTCCTTCCTCCAGAGTTTGTTCCACTTGACCTTGACCTTGACCTTGATCTTGGTAGAGGAAGAGAAGTACAGTCCTAAGCCTCTAACATGTAAGTTTCCAAAGGGCTCTACTCTTCATGCTCCTATTTTGTACACATTGAAATTGCTATTCAGGGGGTACTCAATTATACTCTGGGTTGACCACATTAATGTCTGGAGGCCATGGAGGCATAGAAAAAGGCTCAAGCTCATGCCTGACAAGTCTGAACAGCTATGGTTTGGGGGACCTCTTTGATTTGAGCATTTGCCATTGTTGGCTCTGAAATATGTAGCACAAGGGTTCCCAACCGGGGGTGCGAGACGATATTCCAGGGGGTGCGAAAACTTGGGTTTCCAAAATGATAGTGTATATGCATAATTCATTGCTGTTATTTAAAACTTTTGTAAGGGGTGCAAGAATATATCAGAAGCATTCTAGGGGTGTGGGGTATAGAAAAGATTGGGAGCTGCTGATGTAGTACTTTCCCATGACTTCCTTATCTTTGGCTCCTGTTGAAGAACTAGGAAATGACTCTAGCTAGGAGAGCTGGAGGGCTAGCGAGGAGGGCTTTTGCACAGCTCCATCTTTTGTGACAGATGTTCCATTTCCGAGATTGGGAGCCTTACTTATTGTCAATCATAATTTGTTTACCATCTATCAGCACTACAGTAGTGCGGTTTACATAGGGCTGCCCTTGAAGACCCTCAGAAGCTGCCAATGATCCAGAATGCAAGGCACAGGTAGATAATGGGAATGTTCAATTCAATCATGTAACAACGTCCATGAGTTGCACTGGCTTCTAGTGGACCTCTGAGTACAACTCAGGACACTGGTTATCACCTATAAAATCCTTCATGGTTTTGGGCAGGACTATCGGTTTCCTATTATTTTTGTTTTGTTTTGTGATTTCTGGCAGAGGGAGGTGTTTTCCAAGTCCCGTCTATTAAACAATGGACCCAGGAATTATGTCTTCTCTGTTGCAATACCTGTCCTATGGAACAGCAGAATTCCTGAGATTCAGATAGACCCAACCCTCCTGTTTTATCTAAAGCCTTAAAGACCAGACTCTTTCCCCAAGTATTCGTTCTTGACTAGGCGATTGGTTATTTGTTGATTGCTGTATTAATGAATTGTTTTTGAAATTATTATTAGGTTTATTTTATTTATTGTTAGCCATCCAGCAACATGTTTATTGGACAACTATGTTAATCTGTTAAACATATAAGCAAGTAAGCTAATAGTGCATATGTGAAAATTAGTTTACATATGAAACTAGTTACATTGTCTTTCCCCCCCATGCAGTACAGTACACAGTAACATTGTGTACTGTTCTTTTCCTATGCTCTAGAAAACTTTGCTTATCCTAAAATGGAACAATATGGTGCCATGTTTGTGTGTGTGTGTGTTTGTGATCTGTTCCAATTAGTTATTTGTCATCGTACACATAATGCCATTAACGTTTCCAATTGATACTTTTATAAAATGTGATGCTTTAATCAACAGGTATCACTGATACTTCCCTCCCTTGCTTTTCTCCTGCATCACTCAAGATC